GTCAGTGTACAGTGATTATAATATTGACTAGAACGCATAATGAAGTGTGCCCACCAAGTCCCTGTCTGACCACAGGGTCTGTCTGCTCATAGATGTGCTGTGGGTGTGGAGTGACCTCTCCACGGGCCCACAGGGTCGCAGAGCCCTCCTGCTACAACACCGACAGTACAGATGCACCCCACCCTGCACCTGTGGGCTCCCGCATGGGCCCCCCAATGAGGGCTATGTCTCAGGTCCTTGTCCGGCACCACTCTCCCGGGCTGCTCCCTGCTGGCCCTGCACATCCGTCTTGTTGACGGATCCGTCCCCAAGCCCAGCTCCCTGCACCCCCAGGCCCTGCACAGGCAGCTCCCTCTACCTGCCCGGCCCTCCCTCTGCAGCCACGGGACCAGTTTCTCTTTATCCTGGAAGACCCCACTGCAGATCTGCAGAGGCTCCTGCACTGGGTTGGAGAGTGTCCCCCCAAATTCATGTCCACTGGAATCTCAGGAGGTGACTATTTGGAAACAGTGAAGATGAGGTCACACTGGAGGAGAGTGGACTCCATCCAATATGATGTGTCCCCACAAGGAGAGGGGAGACACACAGGGGGGCCGCGTGACGACAGAGGCAGAGATGGGATGGAGGCACCTAGAGTCCAGGCCGCCAGCCACCCGGGCGGCCAAGAGGGCAGAGGGCCTCCCCCAGAGACTCGGCCGGGCCGGAGCGCAGCCTGTGACACCTGCAATTGGACTCCTGGCCTCCGGACTCAGGGAACAAGGTCCGTGGTTTAAGCCGCTCTGTAGTGAGTTTTGACAGCAGCCACAGGGAGCTGACACCTCCGCTTTGTGCCCCCCACCCCTGAATAGAGGGCGGCTCCTGGAGGACTGGCTGATGGACAGGGCGTGTGCCCAGGTGGTGGAGGAGGTCAAGTGCACACCTGACTCCAGGCCCAGCTCTGCTGCTCACCAGTGGTGGGTGGGGCCGGCAGGGGTGGACTCTCTGTACTCAGGGTCCTTGCCTGGAATCGGGGTACGGTCCCCCACAGGGGATTGCTCTGATGACTAAAGTAACACTGGAGAGGCTTGGCATAGCCTGGCTGGGACGGACATTGTCACTGTTACTGTTATTTGTCAGATTCACTTAAAAACGCCTTCCTACCTTCCAGATCCATCCGGAACTCAGCCTGACCCACAGGACCAGGAGGACAAACGAGGGTCAGGCTGTGACGACCTGTCTGAGGCCCGGCCTCCTTCACCTGCCGCAGCCTGTGTGCCAGCGACACCCGCCAGGCTCTCCAGGGTCCTGGTGAAGGGCGGGACCTCAGACACCACATCCAAGCTGTCTTCAGGCAGGCTTCCGTTTCCTGTCACGGGGACTGAAGAGTCCCCATCTCGGTCTCCATTCTTAGGTGTCGAGGACACTGAGCTTTCAGGCAACTAAAAACCAAGAAAACGCTTTGAG